ACCTGTTTTAACAGATTATTGTATTAAACTGTTTACAACTTTTACTGACCATGTATTCAAACTGAAACAAAAAATTCCTTTGACTAAGGCATGTTCAGTAGAGAGGCCTTTACAGAATCTGAAGGAAGAAGGAAGATTAGTGCATCCACATCTTCAGCCTCTTCCACTTTGTTTCTGCCATGGGAAGATTTGATAGATTTATAAGTATTTAAAATACAGACACTCGTTTTTATTCACTTTTGTATCTTCAGAACTAAGCACATTGCATCAAACATGGTTCATGTAGATCGTTGTTTGTACAGGGTTTGTTGAGTAGATAATTGAGTAGCAGTTACCTTTGTTCACGACATTGATAGGATGTTTTTGGCCCCAGGACTCCGACAGAAAGGGTTGGAAAGGTTTGTTACAACAGTGACTGGCAGCTACAGACTCTGATTTTGCTTCTAAATTCATGGAAAGTCCTTCCTGTCAAAAATATCTTAACCATTGAGAATCATTGAGATTATCTGGTAAACAATACTAGACTTAAGTGGGGAAAGCTAATAGTAATAACTTAGTGTTATTTGATTTCCTCATAAATGCCTGAAAAGAACAGAGAGCTGGGAGCTTTGCTTTTTAGGAAAGCAAAGAATAAGCAGGACTGAGTGATACGGTGACATAGATGGAGATGTATGTAACGTGAGCACCTTCCAGTGCTTTGGAAGTCAGGGAAAGAGTTGGAAAGTCAAAAGAGAGGAGGAAAATGTAGAAAAATAAGTCATAGGAATAAGAAAAGCAACATTGGTTCACATTGCAGTTTTGCCCAGCTTTGGACTCTGCATTTTCTCATCTCAAAAACTGGGTGGCAGTGGTCACTTCTCTCTTTCCCACACTCCTATCTTCATTTTTCTTGCCTTATCTTGGCTATAGTGAAAGAAAGAAGATACGGACCATCTCCTGCAATTTTTATAGCAGTGTTTCTCAACACTGGCTGCCCAACTGGATCAAATATGACACTTTCAGAATCTAGATGCCTGGGACCTGCTTCTGACCTTCTAGATTACAGTCTCTAAGAATGACACTTGAATATAAATATTTTTAAGAAGCTCTATAGGTAATTCTAATGAATAGCATCATTGAAAACAAGGACTTATTACGGCTCCTAAAAAAGATGTACAGCATTCTAGAAGATGTTTTTTAGAAATACATTCAATGTCACTTGTAGTTATTCTAACTTCTCCCATGCAGAGACTTAGGTGGACTCTACTCACGTGCCAGCTTGCAGATCCAAACCAGAGGCTGAATCCAAAAGGGTCCAGAAGGGTATATCACAGTTCAGAGTGCAGACAGAGTCATTAACCACGCCCTCCCTACCCCCACCAAAAAAAGTCCTTGAAGTATAGAGCTCAGAGTGAAAACCTGGGAAATCAAACATACAGGGCAAACTGGGTCATAAATACACAATAAAGTTAAGGGTTAGAAATCAGAAAAAATCAAGGGAAAAAAATCTAGGCAAAGAAAGTCCAAAATATGAGTACCACTAAAATTTTGATAGCTTAATTTTACTGATGAGCAGGTGTGTGTGTGTGTCTGTGTGTCTGTCTGTCTGTCTGTGAAGGCAAACAACAGCACACAATTTGGTTTTGGCTGTTGAGCAGTGACTGTTTGGAAGAGTAGAGATGTGGTCTTGTTTTATACATACAACATATACTATATAGTCTTAGTATTCCTTACTAAAATAGAAATTCACCACTCTACAGTTTAATCATTATATTACAGTAACTAACTTCTAGGGCAAGGGGTTTACATGCACAGGGCTAGCGTATTTCCAGTCATATATCTAGGACTTGATTCCGTGAAGTTATATCTCTGAATAATCAAGTATGTCGTGTGTCTCTCCCTTCATATCTTACACGCCTCCCCCTAACCCTTAGTTTGTTTGCACAGCTGTTTTGTAGTTTGAATTGAGGGCAGCGTTGCCCTTTGGGATATAAATTTGAGTTATTAATAGTCCAACAAAGTATAGGAGAGTCTGGTATGTACACTGCTTCTTTTTGTGATCATATGTACTATGTAAACTATATGTGTTATACATGAATGTGTTTGCCTAGTACACTGTGGTAGACCATAGAGGTGGTCTGTCATGAACGTCAGTTTTCAAAAATACCTCAGAACTCTCTGAGCAGTTATGAATACCGAAGTCCTACTTTAAAAACTGCTTTTAAATATTTATACATCATGAGCCAGTAGTTCCTAGGAGAACAAGAAATACCAGAAACAGTTTTACTGCTGTGCTTTATAGAATATAAAGCTTGTTTTCTCAATCTTGACTTGTTTTGGTGTTTTGTCTCAATATTGATTATTATTATCATAATTAATTTGAAATACTGATATTATTTCTTCATCTAGAATTTGGAGAGAGAACTTCTTTTGGCCACTTTTCCCATAAAGGTAGAAAGATGCTAAGGTTACCTATCCATTACTTACCCAGATCCACACATCTCCTTTTCCTTGCTAACTGAGCTATGATTTTCTTCAAGCTTCAGTTATTAGGGAGATTGAGCCCTGCTATAGCCTTAGAAATTTTTGACGCTCAATCTAAATTAGTTTTGGTAATTCCATTTGTTTAGGAATAACTGTGAGACACATTTCTTAACCAGTGAGGCATGAGGAACATATCTTCTAGGGGGTTCCCTAGGAATTTTTTTTTTTTAAC